CTAAATTGTGCTTTATAATTATTCTTATTCAACTTTTTGCTTTTCCCGTAATTCATAGTTGCCTGAAATTTTTGTAATTTGTTTTTTATGATCCCTTTCTCCCACAGACCTGTCAAACAGTAGTAATTTTTCCCAGTACTCACTCAGGTGTCTCAAGCAACCTATAAGTTCTCCCCTTTTATTTCCTTTTAATTTTTTTTTTTGAGACAGTCTCATTATGTCACCCTCGGTAGAGTGCTATGACATCACAGCTCACAGCAGCCTCAAACTCTTGGGTTTAAGCGATTCTCTTGCCTCAGCCTCCCTACTAGGTGGGAAAACAGGCACCTGCCATAACACCCGGCTATTTTGTTGTTGTTGTCATTGTTGTTTGGCAGGCCTGGGCCTGGTTTGAACCCACCAGCCCTGGTGTATGTGGCTGGTGCCCTAGCCACTGAGCTGCAAGCACTGAGGTTATTTATTTTATTTTTTTGAGAAAAGAGTCTCACTACGTCGCCCTGGGTTGTGGCAGCACAGCTCACAGCAACTTCAAACTCTTGGGCTTAAGTGATTCTTTTGCCTCAGCCTCCCAATTAGCTGGGACTACTGACACCTGCCACACCCAGCTTTTTTTAATTGTAGTTGTCAGTATTGTTTGGTAGGCCCGGGCTGAGTTCGAACCCGCCAGCCTTGGTGTATGTGGCTGGCACCTAACCACTGAGCTATAGGCACCGAGCCCCCTTTTATTTCCTTGATTTTCCTCCCCCAACCATTTCCCCTATACAATCTGGACTGGTTGCTGCCTAACCCCAACATGACAGTACCTTCTTGGGACTTCTCGTGTGCTAAAGCCCCAGTTTCCTCTGTTCCTTTTATATATATATTTGTTGTTGTTATTTCATTTTGCTGAAGCACACAGAAATTCTTATAATTTTTTAGTTCCTAAATGCCTGAAATTTCTTTTTATTGCTTTTTAATGATTTGGAAAATCAATAAAGAGTTCTAAGGATAATACAGAAAACATGTATTATCCTTTACCCAGATTCACTTTCTAACATTTGCTCCATTTCCTTTAGCATTTGTTTTTCTTCCTTTCTCTCTCTCTTGTGGCTGGATGGATAATATAAGATAGACAATCATTTTTTCTATAGTATTTAAAAGTTGCACTTAAGGCAGCGCCTATGGCTCTAAGGTGTAGGGAGCTGGCCCCATACGCCGGAGGTGATGGGTTCAAACCCATCCCCAGCCAAAAACTGCCAAAAAATTAAAAAAAAAAAAGTTGCACTCATTATCATCCATTATCCATAAATACTCCGGTGAATATATTTCCACAGAATATTCTCTTACATAACCCTGAGACACTTTATTTTAGTAAATTAAATTCAGATTAAATAATTGCATTGAGTTGTCACCTCTTTCTAGTCACCCTAAATCTAGAATACTCTCAGTCTTTGTCTTCTATGACATTCACATTTTTTTTAACACAGAAACTTCTTTTTTAACAGAATGTACTCCACTGGGGGCTTATTTGATACATCTTATGGCCCGGTTCAGGTATTTATCACTGTTTAGCAGTGACATGGTTTTCTCAAGTCATCACTATATAGAGGCCATCTGCTCATTGTGGTGTTAATTTTGATCTTCCCATCAAGATGCTCCGCCATTCGTAGACACTTACTGTCCCTTTCTTGCAACTAATAAGAAAATCTAACTTGCAATGCCCTGTGCTTAACTATCAAATGGGAAATGGTACCAGGGGAGTATATATTTTCATTTTCATTAAAATCCAAGGTGACTTTATGGAGGTAGCAAAATGGAGTAGACTGAAACTTTGGGGCCAATTGAAATTTCCTGCAAGTAAATACGTAGAAATAAAATTATAACACTGGTTACTGGATCACTTAAAAGGAAGATAAGAGCCAGCCTTACAATTGGTCTCCATGTAATAAAGTTGTCAAAATGTTTTCTTTAAACAATATATTCAAGCATCTGGTTTTTAAAGCAACATGATTTGGCTTAGTGCCTGTGGCTCAAGTGGCTAAGGCGCCAGCCACATACACCTAAGGTGGTGGGTTTGAATCCAGCCTGGGCCCGCCAAACAATGATGGCTGCAACCAAAAAATAGCCGGGCATTATGGCGGGCATCTGTGGTCCCAGCTACTTGGGAAGCTGAGGCAGGAGACTCGCTTGAGCCCAGGAGTTGGAGGTTGCGGTGAGCTGTGATGCCACGGCCCACTGCCCAGGGGGACAGCTTGAGGCTCTGTGTTCAAAAAAAAAAAGCAATATGATTTGTAGATCAAAGTTATATAACTTCTTGTTTGATAGCCATGAAATAAGATATTAGTTCTAATGTAATTTATAAGGATGTTAAGAGACCGGATTTTGTCAAGAACAGGCATACCTCTGAGATATTGCAGGTTCTGTTCCAGACCACTGAAATAGAGCAAATATCCCACTAAAAGGAGTCACACAGAATTTGTGGTCTTCCAATGCATATAAAAGTTATATTTGTATCATACTGTAGTGTATTAAGTATACAATAGGATTATATCTTAAAAAATGGAAATGAGTGAAAATAGGGTGATGAAGGATTAGATGCTGCAAGCTACAATGTAGATGGGCAAGACAAAGTGGCTGCAGACCATCTGGGTTCAACTTGGTTCACGTGTCTTCTCATTCTGCACCGTGTGGGGAACCACCACTATTAGGAGGTTGCTGTTCTCCAGCAGAGCTCAGAAACACAATCATTGGCTGAGTGTGAGAATTAAGGAGGTGTTGGAGGTTTAAGGTATAAAGTAGTAGCCCAAGAAACGGGAAAGTTAAGTGGACTCCACACATGCAGTATGACTGCCAGAGAGCATTAAGGGCCTACTTGGGAGTTACTAGTCATGAATTTAAAGTGAGACAAGTTACCACAGGTAGTATGTCTTTTTGGTAGCAAAGATGCAGTATCCGACAAGGCAAAGAAATGCATAGAGTCAGGGTTTTGCTAAGTGAGCGTGCCAAGAGGCATCACTGTAAGAATTAACCATGGAATTTAAATCAGATGAAGAAGAACGGGCATGACAGATGCAAAGGAAGGAAAGAGCAATGAAAAAGGAGGAACAATGGAAGTAAGAACTATTAGCATCAGGATTCTAAAGAGAATGAACTGGGAAGATGGTGACAGAGCAAGATATTTAAAGTGGTGAGACTGTAGAGGGGATGACATGTTTTGGTAATAAAGACATCTAGGACAGGCGTTCTCAAACTACGGCCCGCCGAGGACCGACCCGCCAGGTGTTTTTGCTGCCGCTGCCTGTCCTGCTTAGCAGCCAACTCATCCTGGGGCCTGCAGTCTGGCCCTCCAACGGTCTGAGGAACAGTGAACTGGCCCCCTGTTTAAAAAGTTTGAGGACCTCTATCTAGGATATGATCAAACAAGCTAAGAGAACATGAAGGACCAACAATGAAATGAGAAAGTGAGATATTGGGTGCATCATCTACTGCAATAACCAAGACAACGTTAAGTGTTACACACCTTGAATATAGACAATTTTATGTTAATTATAACTCAATAAAGGTGGGGGGAAATGAAAAGATGGACAGTAGGCCAGGAGGCAAAACCTTCAAAGAATGAGAGGGTGTGATCCAGAGATCAGGTAGGACAGCTTGATGATATGAAGATTCCAAGATGGAAGCTTTCAGGAAAGAAGAGAAGAATGGTCTGTAACTGGTAAAGAGGACCCAAGCTTAATATTAGGAGTGTGAAGAAAAATAACCACTATTTCAGAGAGTTCTAGAGCAGGTTTTGATTAGAAAAAGGTAAAGGCAATGATCAGAGATGTTAAGGATATAGAGAATTTTGTTTAGCAATGGACTGTCAGTGGCAGGCCAATAAAAAGTTTCCAAGAGTGGGGCGCAGTGGCTCACACCTATAATCAATCCTAGCACTCTGAGAGGCCGAGATGGGTGGAATGCTTGAGCTCAGGAGTCCGAGACCAACCTGAGCAAGAGTAAGACCCCTCCCTACTGAAAACAGAAAACTGAGGCAAGAGGACTGCTTGAGCCCAAGAGTTTGGGGTCGCGGTGAGCTACGACAACGCCACAGCACTCTACTAAGGGGAACAAGTGAGACCATGTTTCAAACACAAAAAAAAGAAAAAAGTTTCTAGGAGATGGAGAGAGGTAACAGATGAAGACAGAAAGGAGAATGTACAAAGATGTAGGGAATTAAATTTGCAGGAGATGGGAGTTGTTCTGGGAGTTCAGGGCTCCTTATGGTGCCTACAATAAACAAAAAAGGCATACTGAGACGGTCCTGGTAATCTCAGTAGTGGGAAGGCTGAGATTGGAGGATAATTTGAAGAGAAGAGGTATGGTTTGGAACACCCCTCTTCATTCCTGGCCACAGAGGCCAGAAGAGGAAGGGTGGTCTCACCCTCAAGCACTTGGAGTGCTTTCTCTGAACACATGCTGACAAAAGCATGGAGCCCTAGCCTCCAAGTCTAGGAAATCTCTTTGAATGATTTCTTTGATGATTTCTTCCTCTCCAATTTCTACATTTCTCTCTTTTCAATGCCTATTCAAGTGTCAAACCACATATAATAGATCTCTTTTTGCTTTCGCCTTGTTTTCCAGTGCTTATACAGAGTGTCTCATTTCTGACATGAATTTTCAGTTTTCAAGAGTTCTTTTCTTCCGGCTTGGCAGAAGAAAGCTTGGGTCCTCTTTACCAATTACAGACCATTCTTCTCTTCTGTAGCTCTTCCTGTAGCTCAGCAGCTAGGGCGCCAGTCACATACACTGGAGCTGGCAGGTTCGAATCCAGCCTGTGCCTGCCAAACAACAGTGATAACTACAACCAAAAAATAGCTGGGCATTGTGGCGGGAGCATGTAGTCCCAGCTATGTGGGAGGCTGAGGCAAGAGACTCGCTTAAGGCTTAAGCCCAAGAGTTTGAGGTTGCTATGAGCTGTGATGCCACAGCACTCTACTGAGGGCAACATAGTGAGACTCTGTCTCAAAAAAAAAAAGGGGGTCTTTTCTTCCTCTGTATTTTCCTGTTTTATAGCATGCCATTATTTCGTGCCAATATCCAAAATAACCACAAAGTTCCATTTCACTAATCCACTACACAAGCCTCACCACTGTCTCACCACACGGCCCCCTTTATTTCTAAAAAACAATTTCGGAGGCTTACTCAGACTTCTCCCAACTGGTATTGCTTTTATTTCTTTAGTAATTCACCAGATTTGTGTTTATAATTCAGGGTATCTGGAAAAAAATAAAACATAGAAGCCAGTGCTTCCACAAAGAAAACCAGAATACCCACCAAGGACAATTTACACAACAGATGCAACAAAGATGAATGCCTTTGCATAGGTTCACTTAGGAAACCAAAGTTAAAAGAAACATCTAGATATCAAGAGCAAAACTCAAGGAAAAATACCTTTTATATTTAAAGACATTTGTTTACAATTGCTATCAATCACATAAATGATTGCTATCAACACATACTTTTGTTTTTTACTGTTTTTCCACATTATTTTTTGCATAGATATATAGAATCCTCAATGACCCATGTCAAGGGCAACACACCTTCAGCTGTATAAACACACCTCCTAGCCACTGGCTCACCAAACAATCCGTATTGATTTCTAAAGTTCATTGTTGGAAACCTATCCTAATTCTCTACTTCCACAGGTCTGGCATGCCTCCTCCTGTTTCTTCCAGGTTGCTTCTCTGTAATCACAATGTCCTAGTGCAGGCATGTCCACTTTCCCAAACTCCCCTAACACACTGAAGTGTCCTCTCAGCACTTCTAACACCCCCGCAACCCTATGATGCAGATAAAGCCACCACTGCTCAAGCATAATAGGGAACAATGCAAAGGTTAAGTATTTCCATTTTCTACCCAGAAGAGAATATATTATATAAACACAATATTTTAAATGTATATAGATTACAATGAAGTTTATGCTGAAAGAGTTGTAACAAACGTAAGGCGGGGAAAAAATACAAATGCAACATAAATTAGGTTGAAGATTTGTTGGGTAAGAGCCATAGGAACACCGAGATAAAGCTCATGTTGGGTGAAAAGGGGTCAGAATAATCGAGGAAGGCTTCACAGTGGAAGTAAGACCCTGGAAGACATGTACTATTTGGGTGGGTGAAGAAGGTATTCCAGATGTGGGCAGCAGCATGAACAAAGGCCCAGAGGTAGGAATGAACATAGCACGTGGAAAGGTGAGCGAAGGCACAGCCATAGCTGGAGCCCAGCATGACCCCTGGAGAGGAATAGGAGATAAGGCTGGAGAGGGGCACTGGGGACTGACCAGAGGGGACCCAAGAACCTTGACAGGCTTCTTCTCCACAGGATGCAATTTCTGATGCTGAACGAAACTTCTATACCATTTGAAGGCTTTCCCACACACCTTACACTTATAAGGCTTCTCCCCAGTGTGAACTCTCTGGTGCTGTATGGAGGCTATTTTCTGAGTGAAGGCTTTGCCACACTCCTTACATTGGTAAGGTTTCTCTCCAGTATGTATTCTCTGATGGACAATAAAAAGTGACCTACAACCAAAAGCCTTCCAGCATTCCTTACATTTATAGAGTTTCTCCCCTGTGTGCAATCTCTGATGCTGAAGGTAAGCTGCACTCCTATAGAAAGCCTTTCCACACTCCTTACATTCGTAGGGCTTCTCTCCAGTGTGGATCCTCTGATGTTGAGTCAAGGATGTGTTGGAACTCAAACCTCTGCCACACTCCTTACATTTATAGGGCCCTTCTCCAATGTGGTTTTTCTCATGTACAATACAGTCATAGCTGGACTTAAAAGCTTTGCCACATTCCTTACATTTAAAGGGCTTTTCTCCAGTATGACTCATCTGATGCCGAATAAGCTTTGAGTTATATCTGAAGATTTTCCCACATTCTTTACATTCATAGAACTTCATTCCACCTCGAAGTATCAGATTTGGATTTAGACTAAAAGTCTGCCGTACTGCCTTGCTTTTAAAATCAAAGTGCTGAAAACTGTTTCTGCAAAGTCCTCCTACTGGTGCTCTGTGCAACTCTATTTCTTCAGAGGCCTCCTGCTTTATAACTGGCTCTTCATTCATGATCCAGGACTCACCATCTGAACAGAGAAACCACAATGTTCCCAATTACTGAACTAGAAGGAAAACACAATTCAGTGAATTCAGTGGTCTTAATTTTCTCCTGTTGAATCTGATTTTTTTTAATAAACCCATGAAGTGGCTATAAGCATCCATAAAGGAGGATAAGAGAGACAAAGAAAAATAATGACAGACAATTGGTGAAGACACAGAAACAGACCAGGAAAGGACAGCCAGGCAGTGCCCCCTGTAAGGAAGGCTAGGAAATGAACTATGGTAGGGAGATGGGAAGGAGAACCTCAAGAGGGAGAAGGAAATACGGGGGGAAGAAAAAACAGTGAGTGAGGTAAGAAAGATCAGCAAGAAATAGACAAAAATCTTAGAACAGAAAGAGACAGAGATCCAGAGGAGGAAAAAGAGATAAGAGACTGGGAAGAACAGAGGAACAGTTTTAACACTGCAAGAAGTCTCACAGGCTGAGAAACACAAACCAGGAAAAAAATGATCCCAATGCCCTACCTGTGATCCAAGAAATCACCCCAAATTCTAAATACTGTCCTAATAATTCTAATTTAAAACCTTCACAGTGGTTATTTAATTATTTAAATAATTCTAATTTAAAATAATCACAGTAGTTACAGCACCAGCCACATACACCAAAGGTGGCGGGTTCAAACCCAGCCCGGGCCAACTAAACAACTGCTAGCTGGGTGTGGTGGTGGGCACCTGTAGTCCCAGCTACTTGAGAGGCTGAGGCAGGAGAATCGCTTAAGCCCAAAAGTTCAAGGTTGCTGTGAGCTGTTATACCACAGCACTCTACCAAGGGTGACATAGTGAGACTCTGTCTCAAAAAATAATAATAAAAATAAAAATTGGCTCAGCATCTGTGGCTCAAGTGGCTAAGGCGCCAGCAACATACACCTAAGGTGGCAGATTTGAATCCAGCCCGGGCCTGCCAAACAATAATGATGGCTGCAACCAAAAAGTAGCTGGGCATTGTGGCAGGCGCCTGTGGTCCCAGCTACTTGGGAGGCTGAGACAGGAGACTCGCTTAAGCCCAGGAGTTGGAGGTTGCTGTGAGCTGTGATGCCACAGCACTCTACCCAGGGGGATAGCTTGAGGCTCTGTCTCAAAATAAATAAATAAATAAATAAATAAAAGTAAAAATAAAATATTCCACATAATATTCTGGGATAAAAAATGATTTTTCAGAGTCAGGTAGAACAGCAGCAGGACCAGAGAGCCTCAGGCCTCAGCGATACCAGTGCTAAAGGAGCTACCACATACAAATCACATTGCACAGGCTCAGCACCCGTAGCACAGTGGTTACAGCACCAGCCACACATACCAAAGGTGGCAGACTCGAACCCAGCCCAGGCCAGCTAAAACAACAATGACATCTACAACAAAAAGTAGCCAGGCTTTGCGGCAGGCACCTGTAGTCCCAGCTACTTGGGAGGCTGAGGCAAGAGAATCGCTTCAGCCCAAGAGTCTGAGGTTGCTGTGAGCTCAGACACCACAACACATCTACTCAGGTTGACAGCTTAAGACTCTGTCTCAAAAAAAAGAAAGAAAGAAAGAAAAATCACAGTGCGCGTGAGAAGGATGGCTTGGAAACCTCTCTCTAGAAGAGAAAGAAGTCCAAGTCATCAAAGCCTTCCAGGACTGGTGAGCCATGTCAGGTTAATTTTAGGTGCTCTATTTGTGTACTGGGGCTGTGGTAGAAGAATATTCCCAGCCTTTCTCTCTATGGTCCCATTTATGACAAATACAATACAGACCTAAAGATCACGACAAATGGGGCATTTAAGTGACTGAGATAAGAAAAAGGGAAATTAAAGCCATTATTTTCATTACTGAAGGGCTAAAAGTAAAATTCATAGCTGTGGCACAAATAAATCAGTTTAACCCACAGAATCACATTTTCCTTAAAGTTTCTTTGTAATGAAAAATGACATAAAATTAAAATTTTCCACTGCTAAGTGAGAAAAGAAGAAGTGGTTTAGGAGCTACTGAGTCACAGTACTTCTGCTTTGAAGGACAGCCACATGAGTGTGCAGATGGTGTGGGGCCATGCACTCTTACGAGGGTCTTTCCTGGATCGAGGTAAGAAGACAGTGAGTGGTCAGAGAGTGCACTGGGTACTGCCTTATAAATGACTCAGAGTGCTGTTCTTACAGCAGCAGAAATACTTCTCAAGTAGTAAACCATGAAGACAAAAGAAGAAACATAATGGCTAGGTTCTCACACTCACCTGCAATGATGCCTCTCAGAACATCTGTGTCCCAGGGATCTGGGCCCCATGGTGCTTCCCCCTTCTCCAGCTGGGAGATTAGCATGGGTTTGAGAAATGGAAACCCTACTTCAGGAGGAAAGAAAGAAAGACAAGTTGAAGGCACACATCCAGGGCTGTTCCTGAGATTTCTCCCTGCCCAGCCTCCACTGGGCAAGTTGAGAGAAAATTAGAAAACCCAGGAGATCAAGTGAACTACCAAGGGGTTCCAAGGAAGGGGTCCAAACTGTGTTCCACAATGAAGCCAGGGAGATCTGATTCTCCTCAGAAAGAAATGTTGTAATGCAGCTCTGACTGAGACAAACTCCCTTGGGAATGATGTATGTACTGCTCCCTAGAATACCCCTCCTCAGAAGGGACAACCAACATCCCCAGAAAACTAGAAGGGCTCACCTACAGGGCCAATAAGAGTGCTTCCCCTTAAGACCCAGAACCTTACCCTTCCTTGGGGTATATGCAAGTCTAGTTTCAAAAGCAATGGGAACCAAGGATTTCCCTACCCAGCATCTTTGGAGGCTGGTGATTGCAGAACTTCCTTTGGAGGTATCAAACCTCAGGGTTATTAGAATCCTCCAAACAGGCCAGGCACAATGGCTCATGCCTATACTCCTAGCACTCTGGGAGGCCAAGGTGGGTGGACTGCTTGAGCTCAGGAGTTCAAAACCAGCCTGAGCAAGAGAGAGACCCCGTTCCCGATAAGAATAGAACAATTAGCCAGATGCTGTGGCCTATAGTCCCAGCTACTCTGGAGGCTGAGCAAAAGAGATTGTTCAAGAGGTTGAGGTTGCTGTGAGCTATGATGCCACAGCACTCTACCCAGGGCAATAGAGTGAGACTCTGTCTTGAAAAAAGAGAAAAAGAATCCCCAAACACCTGAGGAAGATATCAAACTATCACTAAGAGAGAACTTACCCAAGGAAGCTACATTTGCATAATTCTCCAGCATCACCTCCCTGTACAGGGCCCTCTGCGCAGAGTCCAGACTAGCCCACTGATTCTGGGTGAAGTACACAGCCACATCCTCAAAGGCCACTGACTCCTGAAACAACAGGTTTCTGCTCAGGCTCTGGGTGAGAAGCAGAAAAGGGCAGCCTGAGCTACAGGGAGGGAGAAATCTGCCTGGATTCACAACTCTGAGGCCCATGGGAGGTCTCCTCTAGCAAGAACAGCACCTAGTACCCCAGCCAGGGGCCAGATCTCTGCCAGTATTCCTACTTTCAAATGGGGAGCTCACCACTCTCCCATCTGCACAGCTCTGGGGCCACAGAGCTTTGCTACCCAAACTCATAGCTCAGCATCGGATGCTCTCTCCCTCGTAACTGCATCAATCCCTATGTTCCTGGCTTCGCAGATCTATCCCTCTGTCACCTCTTACTCTTGTGCATTCTATAATCCTATCATCTTATTGTCTATGCCTCAGTTGCACCAGACAGCTACCAATGACCCTGTCTCTACACATCCAAAGTGCACACACACAGGCCCATTTGTTCCCTGCACATATATTGTCTTTGATCTTTATCAACATCATCCACAAGCACACACCAACAGCCCCAGTATTTCACAAATTTCTCTTTTCTACCTTTCTGCCATATCAGAAAGCTGGCTCTTGGCTGGGCGCAGTGGCTCACACCTGTTATTCTACCACTCTGGGAGGGTGAGGCAGGTGGATCGCCTGAGCTCATAAGTTCCAGACTGGCCTGAATAGCAGCAAGACCCCGTCTCTAATAATAGCCAGGCATTAAGGCAAGCACCTATAGTCCCAGCTACTTGGGAGGGTGAGACAAGGGGATCACTTGAGCCCAGGAGTTTGAGGTTGCTGTGAGCTGTGACACCACAGCACTCTACCAAGGGCAACATAGTGAGACTGTCTCAAAATAATAATAATAATAATAATTAGGCAGCATGCCTATAGTCCCAATTACTCAAGAAGCTGAGGTAGGAGAATTGCTTGAACTCAGTGAGCTATAATCAGATCCCTGCACTCTATCCCGGGTGACAAAGAGAGACCCTGTCTCACAAAAAAATAAAAAAGATTAACTACTTAGGCAAAGATTACACAGCCAGGACTTCAACCCAGATCTATCCAACAACAAACATGGGCTCCACATGCCAAGCTGCCTCCCACACTGGGCTCACAAACTTCTCCAGAACATGGCTAAGCCCCGAACTTCACCACAACCTGGTGCTGCCCCATCCCTGAAGAACAGCTTCTCAAACTCCCCAACTCCCCAAATTACCATTCAATCCACCTTTACCATACTTCTTCCAGGCCACAGGGGTTCCCCCTGTCCCCCAATTCATGGTCTCCTCTTTCAAAACTGCACACTCTACCCTGGAAAAGTGGAGCTTCTAAATCTAAATCCCTAAGGCCCCAGAGCAGTCCCAGATGGTGTCCTACTGGCTTCCACAGTTGGGGTAGCGCAGACCACAGAGACTAGGTCGTCAGCTAGGAGGGGTTTCATGACTTGTGCACCATCTTATTTTGATGCCTCCCACAGATGAGTCTACCTCCAAGGAGATTCTCACTACCCTGTGCAATCAGCCTTGTTCTTTTCAACCACTGAAAATGCAACTACTTACAACAGGGGCTACAGGCAAGTACCTAACTCTAGCGTGTCACCTTCTGACTCCAGTAACCTCTACGCAGCCTGTGTCCAAGAGTAAGCACAGAAAGAAGGAAATATAACTAACTACTCTTGAAGGAAGGAGGGAAGAAAAGTACACCAGGGATAAATCCTGGGAACTCAAACAGCTCACAGCAGCTTCACTGGCTCTACACATAGGTCCCCATGAGAGTCCTTTCAAAACAAAAATACCTTGGGAACTCAGTTCTAAAGGAGACACTGGAAAAAAAAAAAAAAAAGACCAAATCTAGTTATTTCTCTTTTTTTTTTTTGAGGAAGAGTCTCAT